CCTTGTAACAAAAGGGATGGTTTCATTTCCTTCCAGGAGGGCAGTTCCCTTGAAGCTAAGCCCAGGGAATTTGGCCAACTAAAACCCCCAAATAACGGCTCTGCTTCTTATGATGCATTAATAGCAGGGGTGGTAACTTCCATGCGGCTCATGTAACATAAGGTAATATAAGCAGTTTCTTCCCTGTGGTTAATCCAGGTCAGTTCATGATCTCTGGACCATTCCAAGCATAGCCAGATGCAGGCAGCTGCTGGTGTCCCTTATCCCTCCAAGATTTTACATTTCCTTTTTCAAATCAAATGTCCAGGGGTTCGGGAAGCCCTGGGTGAGAGGAAGGTGTGACTGGAGAGAAGTTGGGTGCGCTGGGGAATGAGGAGAGCACACTTGGGCTGAGGTTTCTGGGAAGGTACCAGGTGGAACTTGCCAGCTGGCTAAGGCGACTGCAAGGGTTCAAAGTTCTTGCCAGCAGGGCCTGGACAAAGGAATTTTAGGCTCTAGAGGTTTGGAAAAGGACAAAGAGCAAAGATCTGAACTTTCCTCTGAGATCTGGGAGGCAGCAGTGGTGTCTTTGTGCCTGAGTGACGAGCACAGGCTCCGGACGCGCAGGCTCAGCGGTCATGGCTCACGGGCCCAGCCGCTCCACGGCACGTGGGATCTTCCAGGACCGGAGCATGAACCCGCGTCCCCTGCATCGGCAGGCGGACTCTCAACCACTGCGCCACCAGGGAAGCCCGCCATCCGTTTTTTAAGGGTATCCTTCGGAGAGAGAAGAGCCTGAGTCTAACTGCTTCTAGGAAACACATGCTTAACTATTTTGGCCTCTTGAATTCCTACTTTCTTAGAGAGGCCATAAGTGGTATGCGAGTGCCAAGTCCTAAAAGGGCTGCGTTCATCTCTCAAAGTCTCGAATACTGTTATTGTGAGTAACTTTGTTGGGCCTCCATTTCCTCATCAACACAAAGGGAAAAAGAACACGTCCTCCATGTTATTGGAGGGATGAAATGTGGTCATGTCTGGTAAAGAGAAGATGCTCAATCAGGAGTGATTTTCTGCCCTTCCATGACATTTCCTGCCAAGAGAGGGGCGTCTATCCCCACACTTGCCCCCTTCAAAATTTTTCTACAGACTTACTGAAGTATAATTTATGCACCATAAAATTCACCCATTACAAGTACACAATTCAATGATTCAAATTCAAATTATAGAGTTGGGCAACCATCACCACATTCTAGTTTTAGAACTTTTCCATCACCTCAAAAATGTCCCCAACCTCATTTGCAGTCAATCTCCATTTCCACTGCCCCAAGGCCCAGGAAACCACTGACCTGCTTTCTCTAAATTTGCCTTTTCTGCACATTTCATGTAAATGGAATCATACAATATATAGTCTTTTGCATCTGGCTTCTTTTGCGTAGCATCGTGTTTCTGAGATTCATTCACCTTGCAGCATTAATCAGTATTGCACTGTCGAACAATATTCTATTGTATGCCTATTCCACATTTTCTTTATCTATTCTCCAGATGATAGACATATGGATTGCTTCCAATTTGGGGCTATTACGAATTAATGCTGCTATGAACAATTGCATCCAATTCTTTGTGTGGACAGTTTTCACTTCTTGTGAGTATGTACCTGAGAGTAATCGTACGATAAATTTCACTTTTGAAGAAACTGCCAAACTGTTTTCCACAGTGGTTTCCATCATATGTCTCCAGCAGAATGAAGAGCTCCACTTTCTCTCACATCCTCACCTCTTGTGTCTTGTTGATTACAGCCATTCTGGAGGCTGTGTAGGCATCTCATCATGGTTTTATTTTTCATTGCCCTGATGATTAATGATGTCGAACAAATTTTTATGTGCTTATTAAGCATTGTATGTCTTCATGGGTGAAGTTTCTATTCAATCTTGTGTCTATTTTTATTTATTTATTTATTTTTATTATTATTAATTTTTTGCGGTACGTGGGCCTCTCACTGCTGTGGCCTCTCCCGCTGCGGAGCACAGGCTCCGGACGCGCAGGCTCAGCGGCCACGGCTCATGGGCCCAGCCGCTCTGCGGCATGTGGGATCTTCCCGGACCGGGGCACGAACCCGTGTCCCGTGCATCGGCAGGCGGACTCTCAACCACTGCGCCACCAGGGAAGCCCTCTCTTGTCTATTTTTAAACCGGGTTGTCTTTCTATTTTTGAGTTGTAAGAATTGTTTATATAATCTCAACACAAGTCCTTTCTCAAATATATGACTTACAAATATTTTCTCCTAATCTGTGGCATGTTTTCATTTTCTTCATGACATCTTTTGAAGCACAGAAATGTGTAAGCTTAATGAAGTCGAACATATCAATTTTTCTCTTTTGGTGTTATATCTAAGACTCTTTGCCTAAACCAAGGTCGTGAAGATTCTCTTTTATGTTTTCTTCTAGAAGTTTTATAGTTTTAGGTTTTACATTTAGGTCTATGATCCATTTTGAGTTGAGCTGATTTTTTATGCATGGTGTGAGGTCAGAGTCCAACTTTAAAAATTTATTTTTTATTTTTTTGCATATGGATATCCCATGATCCCATCATTTGTTAAAAAGACTACCCTTTCGCATTGAATTACTTGGTACCTTTGTTGAAAATCAGTTGAGTATAAATCTGAAGAGATTACTTCTAGACTCTCAGTTCTCTTCCAGTGGTCCATCTGCCTATCCTTACACCAGTACCACAGTCTTTTCTTTCTCCCGCCAATAAATAAATAAATTATTTACTTATTTATTTTTGGCTGTGTTGGGTCTTCATTGCTGTGCACGGGCTTTCTCTAGTTAAAGTCAGGGGGCTATCTTTGTTGCGGTGCACAGGCTTCTCATTGCGGTGGCTTCTCTTGCATGGAACATGGGCTCTAGGTGTGCAGGCTTCAGCAGTTGTGGCACGTGGGCTCAGTAGTTGTGGCTCACAGGCTCAGTAGTTGTGGCACATGTGTTTAGTTGCTCCGTGGCATGTGGGATCTTCCCGACCAGGGATCTAACCCATGTCCCCTGCACTGGCAGGGGGGGGTTTTTTTTTTTTTTTTTTTTTTATGGTTGTTGTGGGGGTGAGGTGGCCTCAACACAGAGCGGGGGCTGAGGTACGTCTCTGAGAGGCGTGTGACACATGTGGGGTGATGAAGACGTGCTTCAGAACGTGGATACCCGGCAACACCCCGGCTGGTGAATGCGGCGTCCCTGCCTGAATGTCAGTTTGTCTTCCTTGAAAGGTCCTCTGCATGTCCTGGAGAACATCTGTGTGTGTGGTCCTCGCCAGACATCCAGACACTGCTGGCCTTGGCCACTCACCCTACAGATAAGTTCTCTCTCTCTCCCATACATCCCTGAAATTGGTGCAGGTAGGGATCTTTTTTTTGTTGTTTTTTCTTTTTGCGGTACGTGGGCCTCTCACCGTTGTAGCCTCTCCCATTGCGGAGCACAGGCTCCGGACGCGCAGGCTCAGCGGCCATGGCTCATGGGCCTAGCCGCTCCACGGCATGTGGGATCTTCCTGGACCGGGGCACGAACCCGTGTCCCCTGCATCAGCAGGCGGACTCTCAACCACTGCGCCACTAGGGAAGCCCTGGCAGGTGGATTCTTAACCACTGCACCACCAGGGAAGTGCTACGCCAGTACTACAGTCTTGATTACTGTAGCTTCATAAGAAGTTTGGAAAATGGGTAGTACAATTTTGTTCTCTAATTTTGTTCTTCTTTTTCAGAATTGTTTTGGCTATTCTGAGCCCTCTGCACTTCCCCACACACTTTAGGATCAGCTCATTCATTTCTACAAAAAAGCCTACTAAGATTTTGGCAGAGATTGCATTGACTCTGTGTCAACTGGGGGAGAATTGCCAATTTAACACTACTGAGTCTCCTAATCCATGAGTATGGAATGTCTCTCCATTCATTTAGAGTTTCTTTAACGTCCCTCAACCATGTTTTGTAGTTTCAGTGTATAAACCTTGTACTTCTTTTATTAAATCTATTACTAATTATTTTATTCTTTTTGATGCTATTATGAGTGGAATTATTTTCTTAATTTCATTTTTGGGTTGTCCCCTACTAGTAGACAGAAATGCAACTGATTTTTTAATATTTGTCTTGAATCCTGTAATCTCACTAAGCTCATTTATAAGTTCTAGCAGGTTTTTTTGTGGACTCCTTATGGTTTTCTAGAGTAGAATCATGTCATCTGTGAATCAAGGCAGTCCTTTCTAATCTGCATGCCTTTTATTCCTTTTTCTTGCCTGCTTACACTAGCTAGAATCTCCAGTAAAGTGTAGGTCAGAGGTGGAGAGAGCAAACATACTTTGCTTTTGCTCCTGATCTTCGGGGGAGAAAGCATTCACTGCTCCATTTTTAAGGCATTTTTTCTATTCCTACCCTTCTCCAATCAAACTGCTAGTGATTTTAAGTTAGAGGAATAAATACTAAAGATTAGGAAAGCTAAACAAAAGAAAAGTATGCTTCTTTCTTGACCTCAGCCTCAAATCAAACAAAACATAACCAAAAGGCAGGGAGGCCCCTTGTGGTTGAGAACATTTAAGGGATTGGAAGCCAGCTGCAGTGTCCAACAGGGGTTGGCTGAATAACTTTTAGAACATTCATGACAATGGAATACTATGCAACCATTAAAAAGCAGGTTCAAGAAGATTTTTTTCATAGCGTGGAGAAGTTCTTTTAATATGAGAGAAAAGAGAAAGAGCAACAAAAATAACACATATGGGATGATCTCAGTATCATAAAGAAATGCATGCAGAGAGAAAGGAGAGAAAGGAAATATGTAAAAACCTTCATAATTGTTGCCTCTGAGTCGAAGGATCGTGGGTGATTGGTTTTTCTAATTTCTTTATATTTTTTTCACCCGTACAGATCTTTCACAATGGGCATCCTGTAGTCAGAAAAGGAAAAGAAAAAACAAACAAAAAAACCCCAAAACTACCCACGGGGAAGACACGAGACACAGGGAAGTGTTGGCATTTCTCAGACTTACCTTACAGTATTCATCGATTGGTATCAGGCGTTTGACGGCCACGTCCCGAATGTGGCTCCGTCGGAAGAGAATTTTGCCTGCAGAAGATGAGAGTGCATACAGCGTTGTAAGGGAGCACTGACAAGCTCTCAGCAACCTGGGAGGATGAGGATGTGGCTGCCTCTGGTAGGCCCGAGTGGTACCTAAATTCCTGGCTGCCGGACATCCACAGGGCCTGGATGACCCCATGCTTGGTCCTCCAAAGCCCTGTTCACAGCTCTAGTGCAAGGGCTTGAGGGAGTGGGGCTCAGTGGATAAGTTTTGGTGAGATAAGGGAGGCTGGAATCAAACCAAGGAAGGAAGACCTGATGATCGGAGGTCCCCTGTCCAACTATAAGATTCTCAGATGCGGTGAGCAGTTCAGTAAACACTCAGGTATGCCCTCACCCAACAGCTCAGTCTCCCTCCCTCCTCTTTCTTTGTATACCTTCTACTCTAGTCTGATGTTTTCCCAACACTCCACGCTCTCTCATAATTCTGTGCCTCTCCCTCTGCCTGGAATACCTTCCCCATCCAACGTCACCCACTACCCCTGCTGGGAAACTCTTACACACTTCAAATGGGTTAAGAGTTCCTATCTCTTTCAGAACAGACTTGCGGTTGCCAAGGGTGGGGGGGGGGCGGTAAATATTGGGAGTTTAGGATTAGCAGAGGCAAACTAGTATATATAGGATGGATAAACAATAGGGTCCTATTATATAGCACAGGGAACTACATTCGATATCCTGTGATAAACCATAATGGAAAAGAATATGAAAAAGAATATATATATGTATAACTGAATCACTTTGCTGTACAGCAGAAATTAACACAACATTGTAAATCAACTATACTGCAATAAAATTAAAAAAAAAAAAAAGAGTTCCTATCTCTGATTGTACGCATCACATTGTCAATTTACATGTCTTCTTCCTTCCTACTAGTCATGGGGCTCCGCCCAAATAGGGATTGACTCGGCTTTAGTCAACTTTTTGCCCCTGCCACATGGCACTCACGTTTGATCAATGCATGAAGGTGGATTCCACCTGCCAGGACGACAAATCCCTTCAATTCCTTTGCCAATAAGTGTTTGTAACAGAGGGCTCCAAGCCCTCCTACCACACCGAATACTAACAGTCCATTCACTACTTGCTGGGTGACATCTGAGCCCTGGGGTGTGGTACCAGAACCTCCAGTGTGACGTATGGGCAGAGGACATGGGTCACAGACAAATACAAGTATATAAATGATGCCACTGAGGGTCTCAGGAAATATCCAAGATGCTGAAACATTATGGGTGAGGTTTGTTTCAAGCAAATCAGCGGGTTCCCGGGAGTCTTAAAGGAGATCCTCTCATGGGGAGATGGTGGCAAAGCTCATGCACTGAGGATCCAGACAGCATGGCCACACCATTCTGGATTTGTCACAGAGGCAGGGGCCGGAAAATCAGAAATAAGACATCAAGGAGCGACAAAGAGGTGGGGGATGGAGACAAGCCCCCCTGCCATACTCATGTGGGGCGACCAGGAGGTCTCTAGGGGTCAAAAAGGAAAGCACAGGGAGACCACAGCTCTCCAGACTCCAGAGCATGGAGACCTACTAAGAACTTCACCTACTCCTGGTCCAAGGAGGTAGGTCCTGGAGAAGAATCTGGGTTACGAGGCTGGCAGGGTGAGGAGAGGTTAACCACTGATCTGAGATGGTGCTGGTGAGGCTGCTGTCTCCATGGGTCAACCTTGGGTGAGCAGGGACAAGACGGTAGGAAAGGCCCATAAAGAGTTTTCATCATAGGACAGAATCGAAAGGGATGATGGGAAACAGCCTATAGACTTCTAAAGATTTGCAATGCAAGGTGGTCAGGGAGATTTGTACCCAAAAAGACCATATGGTTAAGATCACATTTAAAATAATCTGACAACGTGCTCTTGGGCAAAAAGGCACAATCAGGAAATGAAGTAGATATGGTCAACCTAATAGAAATCCTTTTTTTGTTCATTTCCATTTAATTAAAAAAGAACCCACAATGAGATGAAATACATATTCCTTATATTCCTTAATAACAAGGATCTCCTTTCTTTATAATGGTGATGGGTTTAATTCTGATGAGTGAGTCAAATTTCTGACACACCACACTTGTTAGAAGAGAAAAAAATCTAGAAGAAAATGCATCCCAGGGTTCATAGTGCTTGTCTCCGAGGTTAGAAGACAAAGCCTTTTTGTGTTCTTCTTTATACTTTCTGCAAAGTGCCTACTATAAATATTGATTGCTTTGGGAATCAGAGAATGTTCATGTCATTTAAAACGAAAAAAGCAAATTATGCAGCAAAGTGGGAAGGAGTTTACACCCTGGCCTCCCTAGAGCCGATGATATTCCCTCATTCACTCCCTAGGTGCAGGTTCTGTGTGAGCCCTTCTGTGCACAGGCACTGGGGGCCTGCCTTCCTGGCACTAGTGCTTTCCAACAGGGAGGGCCCCCCCCCGCCCCCCGACATTCTGGGTGGGGCAGTCCTTCCCTGGGTGGGAGTAATAATTACCACTCTCATGGGTGGGACCACTTGAAGATCAGAATTCCTAGGAGAATCCTGAACCTTCAGGAAAAATAAGAAGTGTGTGTCTGTGAAGAGAAATCCTACGTAGCGAATGCTTCCTGCCCTCTAATCTATTTCTCAAAATGGGAGAAGGGGTGCCTACCAACAACATTTTGGTGCCTACCAAAAACATTTTGGTCCCAGTTTGGTATAATTTCCCCTTCTATAAAATCAGAGGAAGGGTGGAGAGAGGGGTGTACAGGCCTCTTACTGAGAAGGCTGTGACCTGACTCGAAAAATTTACAATGGGCATGGTGCTAGCACCGGCCCCCGGCACAGGGCCATCTCAGAGCCACCATGGCCAGAGAATTTGCCCGAGGCCCGGCCTGCAGGGGCTGGGAGAGGACCAAGAACTCAGGCGTGGGAACAAAGACACAGACCTACTAGAGAATGGACTTGAGGATATGGGGAGGGGGAAGGGTAAGCTGTGACAAAGCGAGAGAGTGGCATGGACATATATACACTACCAAACGTAAAATAGATAGCTAGTGGGAAGCAGCTGCATAGCACAGGGAGATCAGCTCGGTGCTTTGTGACCACCTAGAGGGGTGGGATAGGGAGGGTGGGAGGGAGGGAGATGCAAGAGGGAAGAGATATGGGAGCATATGTATACGTATGATTCACTTTGTTATAAAGCAGAAACTAACACACCATTGTAAAGCAATTATACTCCAATAAAGATGTTACAAAAAAAAACAAAAAAAGAACTCAGGCACCTTCAACGTCTCCTGGGGGTGTGGCACAATAATGTCACTCCTCTTCCTGTGTGGCCTCAGTGAGTCTCTGGGCACATGTCAGGTGCCCTGCCAGCAGTGGGGACAGGAAGTCCCCTCGGCAGGAGCAGCACGTGCCAGGGAGGCCACAGGCTCCACAGGGTCAGTGAGGCCCCAAGCCAATCCCAGGGGGGTCTATTCCTTCCTGTGCTGCCTTGGGAAATGCATTTACCTGGCAGAGCCTCAGTCTCCTCATCTGTAAAATGGGAGAGCAGCCCCTATCTCTTAGTAGTCATCTCCGTGATACACCAGCACGGGGCTTGGCCCTCCCTAGGTGCTTAAAAAAGGGTAATTACTTTGTTTAAAAAATAGGTTACATGATACTGCCTTATATTCCACAAGGAAGAGCACCTCTCCTGTCCTCAACCCCTAACTTGGTTTCTTAAGACCTGCCTCTGACAGGCTAATTCATCATTTATCCACAGCGGAGTGGAGTTACCGCTCAGGCCCTGGGCTGTGGGGCAGAACAGAGTGGCCAGCGTCCCCCTGGCCGGTGCCTCCAGATGAAATGCGGATCTGCTGCTTGCTGTGAAGCTTCTGTGTGAGTCACGGAGAAGGAGGGCTAGGGAGCCCGCACCCAGCCCTCCCCTCCGGCCAGCCTTCCTGGAATGGGAAGGGTGATCAGAGGAGAGAACAGCCTTTGGTGGGAACGAGCAGGCTTTTGTTTTCCATAGTGGAGGAAGGCCAAACTGTAATTCTTATTTTTCAAGCCGCATCCTCTGCCAAGTTGGCTTCCCCAGCTCTTGCTGGGATGGAAAATTGCACAGGGCTGCTCTCCCCGCACACCGCCCCACCCCCGCCTTTGTGCTAACATGAAACTCGCTTTTGTTCTGCTGACGTGGCAGTCTTGGCAGAAAACTGACCCCTAGGAGAGGGGACGTTTCTCCCACCCGTCCCTGCCCTTGGCCTCGGCCTCAAGGAAAAGCTAAGAGGTGGGCTGGGAAGGGATGCTCCAGGGGTCTTAGGGCCCAACGGGGCCTCTCCAAGCTACAAGTGGGTGTCCTGAGCAGGGACAACGGAGCCAAGTCCCTGAGAACAGCATTTTCATGAATTTGTGGGTGGAAAAGGATTACGTAACCACGAAAGCTTTCAGGGGCTGGGGAGAGGGTCGGCTCAAGTTCTTCCCTGTCCTGGGAAGTTTTTCCACAGCTGGTTTTGCCTTTCACCAGCAAAGAGTTATAACTCACTGCTTTCCTTTTTTTCCTTGAAGAAAAATATACATTTAGAGCCCATTTCAACTTAAATATCCAGATTGATCATTTAAGTAGGACTCCAAGACATGAAAGGCCCCAAAATTCCAAAGGAATGTCCCAGGACCCTGTTTCTGCCTTTACTGAGAACCTTCCATGTGCCAGGGAGAGAAGCTTGTGAAGCAGCGGTCACTGTTCCATTTTACACATGAGAAACTGAGGCTCAAAGGTTGGGGGGAGATGTCTTATGCTTGAGGTCACAGGACTGGGCCTGTTGAACTCCAAAGCACATGCTTTGGGTACTGAGATGTGGCTACTGCAGCTGGCATACCGGCTTTCCTCCAATAAGGAAAAAAATTCCAGTGTTCTCTCCCCATGGAAGAACTAAAAACATTAGGTTTTTTTAGGCAAATGATCTCCCAGTAAATGGGGGCCTGGCAAATACATCTACCCTGTCTCTAAACTCACTCAATGATGACAATATCCAGAAAAACACACTGATGTGCTGATTGCAGAATCCTGGAGTGGGGGAGGGGAGAATGGGCTCCTGGGTGATCCATCTCAGTGCCTGCCCCCTTGTCTGCATTACGAAAAAGATTTAAAGGGCTGGCCAGCTCGAAATATTTGTGATTTAGGGTGATTGTCAATTTGCCGATTACCTGTACATAAAGATACTAGTAAGTGCTTAATTGCTGCTAGTTACATACCAGGCACTTACCTAATCCTCCTAACAACTCTATCATTTAAGTACCACTATGATCTCCAATGTGCAAATGTAGAAATGAAACTCATGTGCTTAAGTAATTTACCCAAGGGAACAGAGAAGATGATTAGGGGCACTGGGATTTGAACCTGGGCTGTCTGACTTTGGGCATGAATTCTGAGCCTGCCATACCTGTGACTGAATCCCAGCTCTGCCATTTATGCAAGTGATTATAATTTCTTGGAGCCTCAATTTCCTCATCTGTGAAATGGGCATAGTAATGGCTGCCCTGCAGGACTGTTCTAAGGATTAAACAAGCTAATGAATGTAAAGCACTTAGCCCAGTGACTGGCCCACAATAGAGATCTAATAAATGGTAGCTATTATTAGTTGAAGCTATAACATTGGTTTGGGTAACCCAGTTTTTTGAGTTGAAGCCTTGATGCTATTCCTTTGGTAAGAATTTTTTTTGGGGGGAAGGGGACACTGAATGTCTTGAGAGCAGGGACCAGCCATGGTTGCATTAACTCCTCCACAGTGCCTGACACTCAGAAGGTGCTTGGCGGCAGCACCACAGTGCCTGACACTCAGAAGGTGCTTGGTGGCAGCACCACAGTGCCTGACACTCAGAAGGTGCTTGGCCTACTCAGGCGGGAATGCAGGCAGGCAGAATTTCTTAAATGGCCCCCCAAAGATGTCCCACCTTAATCTCAGAGCCTGTGAATACAATGGAATCTCACTCTTGGGATCATGTTATATGATATGCCTCAGTTCATTTCAAGAGAGGGAGATTATCCTGGATTAGCCAAGTGGGTACAAGGTAATCACATGAGCCTTTAAAAGCAGACAGCTTTCTCCAGCTGGTGACAGGAGGGGAAGTCAGAGATTCCAAGCACAGGAGAGAGATTCAGTGCCCTGTTGCCAGATTGAAGATGGATGAGGAATACAGGTAGCCTCTGGAAGCTGAGGGGGTCCCCAACAGACAGCCAGGAAGGAAACAGGTATCTGGGTTCTAGAGCTGCAAGGAGCTGAATTCTGTCAACAGCCTGAATGAGGCTGGAAGTAGACTCTTCCCCAGAGCCTCCAGGTAAGTGCCCAGTCCAGCCAAGATCTTGACTTTGGTCTTTTAAGACCCTAAACAGAGAACCCAGCTGAGCCTGCCTGGACTTCCGACCAACAGAGCTGTGAGATAATAAATGGGTATTGTTTTAAGCTGCTAAATGGGTGGTAATTTGTTATGCACAACAGAAAACAAATACAGGGGGTGGGGGGTGGCTGGGATGAACTGGGAGATTGGGATTGGCATATATACACTAATATGTATAAAACAGATACCTAATAACCTGCTGTATAGCACAGGGAACTCCACTTTGTTGTACGGTAGAAACTAACACAACATTGTAAAACAACTATACCCCAATTAAAAAAAAAAGAAAGAAAGAAAACAAATACAGTAGCCATTGTAATAGATGCCACTCACTACACAAACTGTATGACCTTGAATTATTCTCATTTTAGAGATGGGAGAAACCGAGGATCTCAGAAGTGAAGTGTCTTGCCTAAGGTCAAGCAGCTGGTAAATAGCACAGCATCTAACTCCAAAGCCCATATTCTTAGGCACTGATTTCAACAAATGACTAAGGTCTGGTCACTAGGACAATGCCTCAAGGAGGAGGAGGGGAGAGATCTGAGAGCTGTGTTGGGGGCCCAGGGGCCCCATCTGAGAGCATGTGTCTCACTTACCTGGAAGAAAGGGAATGATCCTCTGTTTGGGGTCCTTCTGTCCTCCTTCCATGGGAAATTTGTCCAACATCTGCATCTAAATGGGGAGAATAACAAAAAAATATGATAAATGCATCTCTGACGTTTTAAAGGAACTATGTGAACTGTGTGATTCGATATATAAAAGCTCACTTTGTTCAGCTTTCCAAACTAATGGGGAAGGCAGTGTCAACTGGACCTAGGATATCCATGCAAACAATTCTCTAGGTCCACAGCTGCCAGACTAGCGAAGGCTCAGAGCTGGGAGAGACCATTCTCAGTTTCCCCAGGCGCTCCAGCCACAAGACCTGAAGCGTGAACAACGCCCCCAGAATTCCACAGACGGCAGGTCATCCTGTTTCCTAAGAACTGCCAGGCTGTGTTCAGGAACAAACTCTGGAGACTCAATTAATCATTACCTGTGAGATCATGACACGCCCCTGCCCCACTAAGAATTCCCCAGGCTGGCTCACCTCCATGCCTGGCTCTGTGTCAGGCACATGGGGTGCAGCGATGAAAAGATTCAGTGTCTAGAGAGAGACTGAAAAGTAGAATGGTCATTGCAGGGTGGTGTAGGAAGCATCTAGAGAGGTAGGTGCAGGCTTGCTGTGGGGCTACAGGAAGCACAGGGATGGGGCACCCAAAACGAAACCCTTTCCTGTTTTCTGATAACATTAAATGCCTCTCTGACATTTTAAGGAATGAATGTGAAGTATCTGACTGGATATACAAAGTCACCAGGATCTGCTACTTGCGTTCGGGGGAAGTGACATACTTCGGGCCTCATCCTTAGTTGGCCATAATGATACCAACTGCCAACATGGCTTTACAGATTAAAGCTGGGCTGTGTGGTCATAAATGCTGTCACCAGATTTCTGGTTCTTCCCCTGAGCGCTTGGTAGATTTGTACGTCCCCACCCCCTTGAAGTGGGACGTGGCCAGTTAAATGTGAGCAGGAGAGACATGGCTCACTTTGGGGTGGAAGACTTAGGACTGGTGCTTGATTCACCACTCTTCATCTCCACCTGCCATGTGATGGCCATGCTCCAGAGTGTGGCTTCTCTGCCAGCAAGGGTCCAGAGCCCCCAACAACCTCTGATGGACACATAGCCCTAGTGAGAAATAAACCCTGCGTACAGTGAGGCTAGTTGTCATAGCAGCATATCGAAACCCATCCTGATTAGTATATGGGCCCAGGATTCAAGCAGAAGAAAAGGGAGTCCTGAGCCTCCTGAACTGATGGCTGAATGTGAGAGGCCTGCCCATCATTTTACCTCAAGGAGAAAGTCACCCTGGCACTCAAGATGTGTCCCTCTGGATGTGGAGAAAAGGGAACCCTTGTGCACTGTTGGTGGGAATGTAAATCGATGCAGCCACCATGGAAAACAGTATGGAGGTTCCTCGATAATTTAAAAATAGAACTACCATATGATCCAGCAATCCCACTCCTGGGTATATACTGAGGAAGATACATGCACTATTCATAGCAGCATTATTTACAATAGCGAAGACATGGAAGCAATCCAAATGCCCATCAATAGACAACTGGATTAAGAAGCAATAAAAATAAAAACAAATCCACGAGAGGGAAAAAAAAAAAGATGTGGGGTGTGTGTGTGTGTGTATACACATATACACACACACATACATACACACAATGGAATATTAGCCATAAAGAATGAAATTCTGCCATCTGCAGCAACACGGATGCACCTAGAGAATATTATGCTTAGTGAAATAAGTCATAGAAAGACAAATACTATACGATATCACTTATATGTGGAATCTAAAAAATAATACAAATGAATGTTTATGCAAAACAGAAACAGACTCACAGACATAGAAAACAAACTTGTAGTTACCAAAGGTGAAAGGGAAGGGAGGAGGGACAAATTAGGGGTATAGGATTAACAGATAGTAACTACTATGTATAAAATAGATAAGTAACAAGGATATACCGTACAGCACAGGGAATTACAGCCATTACCTTGTAATAACCTATAGTGGAGTACAATCTACAAAAATACTGAATCACTATGTTATACACCTAAAATTAACATAACATTGTAAATCAGCTATATTCAATTAAAAAAAAAAAAAGATGTATCCCTCTGATAGCATAAAAGCAGCTGCGAATAGCTTGGAGAAGTAAGCACAGCTATAGTGTAGGGGGAGGGAGGAGAGACCTGCAGTGGGATAGAAGAGAAACAAGTTTACATGCCAAGCACAGGTTAGATTCTTTAGACATATCCTCTCACGAAATCTGCAGAATACCCCATTCAAGGTGGACATGATTATCCAGGGAACTGAAGTCCAGAGGAGTGAAGAAATCTGCCATGGGCCTGCAGCCAGCAAGGGGCAGGACCAGAGACAGAAGCCCACAGCTTCTCTGCCATTGCATCACCCGCCTCTGAGATACTACTAAGGCAATTAAAAAGGATTGCTCCCCAGCGCTCAGGAAACAGGGCCATTTATCCAGGCTGGAGCTCCCTGCCTCCTTAGCACTGTTTTATGTGACACCCCTGCGTAGGAGGGTCAGACTCAGCTTGGCTGGCAACCCTAAAGGGCTGCCCATGAGGCTGTGGTTTTATTTGTGATTTCCAACTGGCCCCTATTCTGTGCTGTGAGGTGATGGGGAAATGCTTGGTTCACCATCATTCAGCAGCTGGTGAGGCCACAGTGGGCCTTGCTGGAAAGGGAGGCTTCCCTTTTTGAATCCAGGAGCTTTTCAATGCTGGCACATAGTAGGCACTCAATAAAAATTGGCGAGACCAATGAATGCACCTGAGTGAAATTTGGGGGTGGGGGCAGCTTCAGATGTTTGCTGAGTACCTCCGATTAATAACATTCACATTACTAATATTAAATAATAATTAGTAACCACTACTAACTGGCTTGACTGTTTACAGTTAATCCTTTTCAGACATATGATTTTATCTGTCCTTCATAATAATCCTGTGAAAGCAATGAACAACCCCCACGTCACAGATGGAGAAACTGGGGAGCAGGACACAATGAACTGTTTGAGGTCACACAGCTAAGTGGTGGTCCAGCCAGTTCAAGTATCTTAATCTAAATCCCATTCTTTCCCCCTAAGATCACTCTCTTAGGCAGCTTCGGAGTGTCACATGAACATGAAAAATCAGCCTGAGACCAGGTAAGTTTCATTTTCCATGCACAGGCAAACAGCATGCTTCTTTTTTAAAAGCAGGGTGATTAATCAATCTTAGCTGCAGCATCTTTTTAGAGATTTATAGGTTTGACCTAACACTATCTTTTTTTTTTCCTTCTCAATTTTGTTTGTGAAGACAATGTTAGAACACCATTCAGGGGAACTATATTTTTTTTAAAGGTATACCCCAGTAATCTGTCCACTGTACCCCACTTATATGCGCTCTCCCGGGTTCCTGCAATGTGCACACACTGGCTAAAGAAGCCCTGCCCAGCACTGTATTTCCCTGTGGTCTTCACAGCTCTGTTTCAGAGAGTTACTCTCTCACCCTGTGTCCTCACTTGCTTCTATCCAAATAAGGGGAGCCCAAAGAGCTGAAGTGTCTCCCCAAGTGTTATTAATTTGAGGCAGCAGACCTGGGTTTCATGTTGCGAACTCTAACCACAGACATCAACCCTGGGGACCAGACAGCCCTGGAGTTTAATCCTAATGATTCCTCATGCCAGCTGTGTGTCCTTGGCGAAAGACCTCGCCTGATGAGTCTGATTCACCACCTGCAGAATGACAGACACAGTCTGCCGGGCAGGGGTGTTGTGTAAATGAATGTTGTATGTGAACTGTAAGTGGGGACGCACTGGGTGCTCAACAAGAAATGCCCCCTCCTTGCACTCTGCCCACAATGAATGTTATTCTGAGAATTATTTGGGAAAAATTTTCAGTATTTAATGAGACTGTGTGTGTGTGTTTATGTTGAGTATACATAACATAAAATCGATCATTTCAACCATTTTAAGTGCATAATTTAGCGGCATTAAGTACATTGTTGTGCAACTATCACCACCCTCCATCTCCAGAACCTCTACATCATCCCACACTGAAACTCTATATCCATTAAACAATAACTCCCCATTCTCCTCCAGCCCTTGGCAACCACCATCCTACTTTCTATCTCTATAAATCTGACTATTCTTGGCACTGCACATAAGTATTTGTCCTTCGTGTATGGCTCCTTTCACTTAGAATAATGTCTTCAAGGTTCATCCATTTCATAATATGTGCTGGAATTTCCTTCCTTTTTAAGGCTGAATAATATTCCACAATGAGGCTGTGTTTTTTTTTGTTTTTTTTTTGTTTTTTTGTGGTACGCGGGCCTCTCACTGTTGTGGCCTCTCCCGTTGCGGAGCACAGGCTCCGGACGCGCAGGCTCGGCAGCCACGGCTCACGGGCCCAGCCGCTCCGCGGCACGTGGGATCTTCCCGGACCGGGGCACGAACCCGTGTCCCCTGCATCGGCAGGCGGACTCTCAACCACTGCGCCACCAGGGAAGCCCGAGGCTGTGTTTTAAGGTTGGTAAAATTCCTCCGACAACCCAGTCTCCTCAGTGGCCAGAGCTGGGCTTTCCAATAGAACTTTCTACAATGATGGAGATGTTCTATATCTGTGCTGTCCCTTATGGCAGCCACCAGCCCTTGGATGGCTACTGAGCACTTGAAACGTGGCTCCTGCAACTGAGAAGCTGAAGTTTTAATTTTATTTAATTTTAATTAACTTAAATTTACATTTAAATAGCCTCACGTGACTAGTGGCACAGGGCTGGACTCATTCTCCTCTTTTAGCCATATCTAGCTTTATTTCATTTTATGATCCCATCAATGGTAACTGCAGTCTGTATGACTGCTGTTCGCAAGGACAGGTGATCAGAGGCCTGAGAGCTATTTTGTTTTTGGTCTTAGTGTGTCTGGGTTCACAGGCCACAGGCTGCTTCTATCCAGGGAACTGTCACACTTGGCACTCACAGGCTTTGAAACAGACATGGGTGGCATTCCAGACCCTCTGTAGGGACCCCCAGACCCGGGATGTCTGCAGCAGCAGGACCAGAGGCACGC